ATATTTATTAATTATCTTTTATACACATATTGTTTAAAAATATCATTTATTCGTATTTAATATTTTTCGGATTATTACCATTTTTTTTTTTTTTTTAACTGAAGGGAATACTTTATAGGTGACAGCAAACTGTTTAATGGGTAGCGAATCTTTAAATCAACACTTTCAATAACTAATTACAATAGTCTAGATTATACATATTTTGTTATAATAGATTTGGAAAGGGGTAATCGAGGATCTAAAATTGATTGGTATTACCTTCCTGCGAGATTATTTTTTGTTAAATTGTAATTGTAACCATCTGATAAGGAGTTTCTTGTAACAACACTGGCCCACCCTATAAATCAGTAGCCCCAGCTTGTCCACTGATACAGAAAGTTCTGGTTACCGCCATTGTACATAGGTAACAATAATTAACAAAAAGCGGGAAAGTGGATATCGCTCTTCTATACATGCAGTAGTAGGTTACAAGTGGGTTACTGTAGTCTGTAATGGATTATGGATGGAATTAAATTTGAATCAAATGATATTATATACGATATATGATATTGTAAACGAACAATAATTCGGAGTGGAGACAGTTTATCTGTCTAAGATATGTTATAGATTATCAAAAATTTTTAAATCTTGGATTTAAAAAGAACATTTTTTATGAATTTTTAGCTTAAAATGACATAATATGCCTATTATTTATATAAATAGTTACACTTAAGTCAAAATTTTTTGAAAATTGCATGGTGGATAGAAAATACTTATATAAATGGTCGTTTGCTTTAAGGTTACATCAAAAACCAAAATCGATTTTATTAAAAACTGATTGTGCGTAAAATTTCCCGTTTTCCCTTAATGTTTAGTTTGTTTATCTCGATTATTTAGAAAAATATTTTAAATTTTTAAATTTTAAAAACTAGATTCACTTTCTGATCGAACGAGGCGCTAAAGTCGAAAATCAAAGTCTTTTACTACCACAAAATGTGATGACAGACACAAAAAAAACCACACATCATTGTAAAATCATTACATTCCTAATATATATATATATATATATTAGGAATATATTATATATATTATATATTATAATATATAATATATTATAATATATTATATAAAATATATTACTCATTATAATTCCTTGCTTAAATGTAGGCACCTAAAAATGCATAAACATATCTACAAAATGTATACATTATAGAATTCGGTAGGTATTGT